AAAAACTACCAATAATAATCATAATACAAAATCATGCTTAATATGTCTACAAAAATTAATATATATCAATTAAATATGCATTCACCTGCATATTATAATTTGTATGTTGCAGATGAATTTGTTTTAACACTCTTTGTTACACAGGTTAATTGTGAAAGAGCTTTCAGCAAGCTTAAAATAATTAAAAATTGTTTACGCAATTCATTAAATCAAGACCATCTTGAAGAATTCATGTTAATGTCTATAGAAAAATATATATTAGATGCTATTGACTTCAAAGAAATGCTAAATATAATAAAAAATTCTTCATCATTGATGAACCAGATGTTATCGGTGGAAAAACCAAAGTGTATCTATATAATATTATTTATTTTAAATATTATAATATATTTTACTATTGCACTATTTATTATAGACGCTACAGCTGATGTATTTTAAGTATGAACTGTTAAGTTAAATATATGTTAATCTGTTTAGAAGTAATTTTTTTTTATTTCTATAAACAATGTTAAAATACATATTATTAAATAGTGACTTAAAAACTCTTAATATAAATTATTTTTGGGAACATCTGTAAAAAAAAATTAATTTTATAATGCATATATATTATATTATAAAGAAAATTAAACTTAAATCACAGTATCCAAATATATAAATATATTTTATTTAATTGATAAATTTAAAAACTAAAAAATATGAAGAGGTAAAATTTTTTTGAATTCTAGGTGTTGATTAGGTGCTGATGTACGGTAGGGTCGATTTTTTTTTTTTTGCAGAACAGTGGGCCAATTGGGTCCCAGTCCGCCCCAGCACTTACATTTAAAGCTAGACCTTTACACTTGGTACAGAACGATACTCAAAGACTGGCTCTGTAAATTTAAATCAGATGAGATAGAGATCACTGATGGCAATGAGAACTATAACTCTAACTATATGCAAATTTTAATAACGTTAACCAATGGCGGTCATTTTATTTGTATTTTTAGTAGGCCGAGCAAATTTTTCAGTGCCATTCCAAATTTTTATTTWTATTTTTGTTCACTGATATATTTGAAAAAATATATTTATTAAGTACCTACTTCAAATTTTTTTTAATTATTCTCGCTATGWCACAACACTTTAATAGTGCATTATCAGAATACCAGCAGTCATAAGGCGTGGTAAAGATATCAACTATGGCCTATGGGTTCCAGCTTTCATAGTTTCACACAAGTATAAAATTTGAGAATTACAGATTAACAAGGGCAGTCAATTAGTTAATTGTGTAGATTAGTCGCCCAGTGAATTATTTGCATTGTTTCAAGGTTACTGGTTAGTAATACAGCCAGGGCCAGTCTATGTATTTACAACATTGTTAATATATCTTATAATAACACTTCAAATAGTAATATTATTTAAGCACCTAAAGCACTTAGTTGAAGAATTAAAATATATACATTGTATATATTTTWATTGTTGGTATTTGTTAATAATAATTTAAGAAAACTAATACATTGTTTAATTCAATCATACACTTATAACCAAAACTA